CATGGGCGTCAGCGACAAGAGGGACATCTCTCGCTTTTTAGAGGTGTGCGATTGACCATTTAAACATGATGATTAAGCCGTGCTGCTGAATATGTCTTATGCTGTCAGAGGGGCTTTAATATAAACCAGTGGGTTTTGCTGCCACCTAGTGGTAAAAGGACCTGCGGTGTAGAAACAAATTAACCCCTCATATGCTTGCTAGGGTCAATATTACAAATGTTTAGGATAAAGTTTAAATTTAAATTATTGTTATATTTTATTATTTTTGAGATTTATTTGTTTATGTATCACAGTGCAACCCAGTGATGATTGATGCCAAGGAGGTGTCTGCTGCCCACAGAGCTCGCTACTTTTGGGGTAACCTGCCTGGCATGTACAGGTTAGTTAGACGTGAACTCTTCATTAATTTCATTATTTAATCTCTCACTTTATCATTTTATCACTTTATTTCCTTCTCCTGTCAGACCATTGGCCACCATGTGCACTGATAAACTGGACCTTCAAGACTGTTTGGAGCATGGCAGGACAGCTAAGGTGCTTCTTGGACCAACCCTCGATTGATTTCTGGATAAAGCTTTGTAAAGCAACACAAATAGCAGTTCTTTTTCGCATCTTTTACAGTTTGATAAAGTGCGGACCATCACCACTCGGTCTAATTCTATAAAGCAAGGCAAAGACCAGCACTTCCCTGTCTTCATGAATGACAAAGAGGACATCCTGTGGTGCACTGAGATGGAGAGGTATGACGAAATGCCTTTTAAAAAGTTCTAAGGTATAAGCCCAAATGTTAATGTGAAATGTCACACTGACATTTATTCAACAGAGAGATCCTGAGGACCTGCTGCAGTGAACAGTGAGTTTTATCTCATATTGATTGAATCATCAGTCATCTACTGGCTGACTAAAACCATATCTTACTCAGTAGAACAGAATATGACTACATATCAATACAATGAGACATGTCTTATGTAATCCATTGATATGCATTGATATAAACATTTATATACACCATGAAATGGCTTGACAAACACAATTTTCTTCCTGTTTTGATATATTTTAACATGGCTTAATTATATCTCTGTTTATATTTATACCTGGTATTAAAATCCTTTTTGGAGATTTAACCATAAGTGGTCAGTTAAGACAGAAAAAGCAAGTCGACACGTGGCTTCATTTACTTTAAAGGGGTCATATGATGCGATTTCAAGTTTTTCTTTCTCTTTGGAGTGTTACAAGCTGTTCGTGAATAGATAAGATCCCTAAAGTTGCAAAGACTAAAGTCTCAAACCCAAAGAGATATTCTTTATCAAAGTTAAGACTGGTCCACACCCTCCTAAAACGCCTTATTTAAACACGCCCCCACATGTCTATGTCACTGTGTGGGAAGATTTGCATAACACCGCCCAAATGTTCACACAAA